TAACTTTATTCTGTCATGTCATCACAGCTGGTACAAATTAGACTTACAGACGACCGCTTCTGGTCCCCAGGCCGTATGTTTGAAAGTCAAACAACACTGAGAGGCAGTCGACGGTTTGATCTCCTACAAAAATAAAATGAAGTAGAGCCTGAAATCTGTTCTAATAGAAACTGTGTGAATCCTCTGTGGGGCTTTGTTTTGTTACAAAAACATCACAAATATGAATACTGCATAAACCCTGGAACACAGCATTTATATTAGAGTAGAAGCATCACCTTTATATTAGCTGTTGGAGTCCAGTCACTCTGACATGTGTGACTGTAGGTCTTGGCTGTGCGCTGGCCAGCTGTCGCCGTCTCACTCCAGCTCGGAGGATCCAAGCGATGCTGCTCCATCTGCACTCTGCTGGCCTGCCTCCTCCTCCTCCTTCCATATGGTTCAGTGAAGCCTGTAGCTCCACCTGCCTGACAGCAGCTACCAGCAGACAACATGCACCTCCTGTCACATCTCCAGGATGTCTGAACACGAGCCCACGTCCACGTGAAGAGACCTCATTAAAACAGCAGAGCTGCGATCAGCTGAGTTATGATCAGATGAAAAAGCACCGCTCATATTTAAAAGTGTTTCCTGAACAAATCGACTTTATCTTTGTGTTTATTGATTCATGATTGGTTTTGCCCTCCAGAGTCAACAGCTCATTTAACAGCCTGTTTATCGTATGTAACATTGTCACCATGACTACCAGTCGTTATCATTGTTAGACAGCTGATAATAACACAGCTGTAGTTCTCATTATTTAGATCATGATATAATCAGAGGTGGGTCGAGTATCCAAAAATTGTACTCAAGTAAGAGTAGCATTACTTTAAAATATTATTACTCGAGTAAAAGTGAAAAGTAGTCGTCAAAAAAGTTACTCAAGTAAGAGTAAAAAAGTACTCGGCGAAAAGACTACTCAAGGAGCGAGTAACTGTTTGAAATGTCCGATTTATTTTATAAATAAATGTAATCAGACAAACAAAAATAAATAAATATACAAGTTTTAGTATTTTCAAAAGGAATATATGTAAAAACATCAAGAAAATAAGGCACAGATTTGAGTTTTTCACAACATAAAGCTTTTTCACCAATACCTGCAGTAAATAATATAAATATATAAACAGTGCAAACAATTTCCAGTGACTAGATATGCTGTAAACGTTCATGTTTGCTCCACAGCAGCCTCAGAGAAAACAACGAGGCATCCTCATTATTTAAATCAGGATGCAATAATAATACTTTAATTAATGATAATCACAGTGTGCCTGTGGGCTGTACTGTGAGCTCTACACAGAAGGAGGAGTTCCACACAACCCGTGGCAGCTTGTTGTCACGTGACACCTCATTACTCAACAGCTAGGAAAGTGTGGGGGCGTGGCTTGTGCCCGACCCTTCTGCTCCTTACAACAGGCTCGTTACTGTGGACT